ATCAAACATTGCACAATTAAATGCACAACTAGAAAGCATGAAGACAGAATGTCTTGGCTTGTTTTATTTCAACATTATCAATTATCTTTTTATATCAGAATCTTTTTAAGGTAAAAGGTCATAACCAAAAGCAGCAATACTGAAATATTTGCTAGATTTCATCACAATGTACCGAATGTTTTGAGTAAAGGTCACGTTGGGAGGGCAATCCGATGTTCGGACTGTCTATATGTCTGTCCGTTTTGTTTTGTTGTGGATTATTGTTTATTTGTGAAGCACTTAAAGGTTCAGTGTGTAGAATTTAGTGGCATCTAGTGGTGAAGATGCACGTTGCAGCTGAACACCCCTCACCTCACCCTCCCCTTCCAAACATAAAGGAGAACATGTGGCAGCTTTCAGTTGTCGTAAAAACTCAAAAGTAGTTTGTCCAGTTTGAACGACTGTAAAAAAATAAATTTTAAATTAAAAAAAAAAAAACCATGGCAGCCTCCTTTGAGAGAACCCTGTCCTGTTGTAAATATAAAGTATTTCAATATAAAGGAAAGAAAACAATAAATTGTAATTTAGATGAAACACACCAGTGAAAACATCACTGAGATCTTTTTATTTTCAATTTCTGCTAATAGATCCCTTTTACCTAAAGTCCCGTAAGTGACATTTACTGAAGCTCTGTCTGGAGATTATTTCACTCCTGTATAATATATTTTCAGGTTTATACCAATCTCCTCTTTTTCTCTACCGTATCCACAGATGAATTCCCTGGGCAGTTCTTCCAAATGGCCGTCTTACGACCCGCTACCCTCCACCTTGACCTTTGTCCTGAGTGAGAGTGAGCAGACTGAGGATGAGGCTGATGTCTTTTCAGAGGGAGAGGGAGACGGTGGCAAAAGAAAGTCCCTCTCAGCCGAGGATGGAATCACATATTCTGGACGTTACATCGATTTCCGACCTTACGCCGATCAGCGACGTTCGATGTTCAGGAGAGAACAGTCCAAACGCTGCCCTGATGGAAGTATACATCCAAACTCAGCCTCCTCTCTTGGAGCTGCCACATTAGGCTCATCATCAGCGACACCAGGGGATCTGGCCTTCGCTCAGAAAGTGAGCACCTTCAACCTCATTCCTACGCCTGGTTTTCAGTGTTTGTTTAATCCAAATAGCAGAACGGTCACAGTAGTAAACCTTGAATTTATCTTTATTTTCCCAGTGCGCAGATTTGCACAGGTTTACCCGTCCTTTGCTTGGTCTCCTGCACGGACTGAAGACAGGACGATTTGACAAAGGTAAGCTGCTGAGTTATATTAAACATGACTGAATATTTTTTGTTTCGCCCCCTCAGTGTCTAATTACCTTTATGTTTTAACCTTGGCAGGTTTAACCAGTTTCCAGCAGAGCGTTGCCATAGACAGATTGCAGAGGATTCTTGGGATCCTGCAGAAGCCTGATATGGGGTAAGGTGACCATGACAAAGCAGCCTAACATTACGACCGTAGTGAAAGTAGGAACACTGGTCTTCTTATCAGTACCCTGTATTGTCGTTAATGCTTTTTCCTTTTTTTCCTGCAGTGAGAAATACCTCCAAAATCTGCTTCAGATAGAGATGATGTTAAAAATCTGGTTCCCTCAGTTGGCGTTTCAAACAATAGTAACACCAAACCCGACCATCACTCCCCGATATCCACACTGGCGCCAAAATCAGCTCCACATGCCAGTCAAGGTAAGATTCATTCTATAATCCTAAACTTTATGTGTGTGTTAAATCGGTTTATGTATTAAAAGACTTTTTAAAAAGATAAGTTGGTGTTAAAGAGCAGGAGGAACTTTGTAAGTTTATTGTGTATCTGTTTTTTTTTTTTATTAGTTTCTTATTATATTTTATTACGATTTCATATCTCAAAGAACCCGGTTTGCTGTAGTTGCTTATTCATGGTTCTACTTTCCTTTCCCAGAAGAGAAAACTGAGCTGGTCA